CAGAGTTTTAATTATAAATTACCCAGGGCCTCCCTCCTTCCAGTGATCACCACACCCTCCAAACCACAGAATTCACCTTCACCCTCTCCTAGGGCGGGCGCTAAGCACCTTGTCTGAAGCTCATGTCCACTTTCTTACCAAAGTCTCTGGTGGGTAGGGAGAGTCCCAGCAGTGTCCCTGCCCAAGTCAAGACTGAGGGCTCCTTGCAGGCAGTCAGTCAGGCCTCACAGTGTGGGACTCAGGGTCTAGTCCTCAGGGTGTGGCGCTGTGGAATCCTGCAGTGTTTGTGATTATCCTATTTTCCCTCTTATTTTTTTCTCCGTATATTCACATAAATTTTCCTGTTGAATCAGAAGTGGATTTTGTGTTTTCCTTTGATGGCGTTTTATTAACCCATATATTGATTATTTATTGGGTGGGTATTGGAGACTGAACCCATGTGCTCACATGTGCTAGCTGAACATTCTACCTCTGAGCTACATCCCTGGCCCTTTTGACGTATTGACATAGAGTCTCACTGAGTTTCCAAGGTTGGCTGCTAACTTTCAAGCCTCCCATTTCAGCCTCTGGAACAGCTGGAGTTAGGAGGGTGTGGCACTATGCCTGATTTGTTTTCACAAAATTTAGTTCTGTACCTGAAAGAAAATACAGTGTAATTCACATAGGGAATTGGTGAAGCTCCATTGAAAATGCAAGCAATTAGGCCATGTAGAATGGTGAATGCTTGTAACCCCAGTCTCTCAGGGGGCTGAGGCAGGTGAGGCAAAGTTCAAGCCTATCATGGGCCACTTGTTTACACCCCGTTTCAAAATGTCATAGGGCAGGTCAGAGATTTAGCTCGGTAGCACAGGGCCTGCCTGGGAAGCCTAGGTCCAGAGTTTGATCCGTGTCAGGCCTTCCCTAAATTAACAGGGAGAATAAACAGGCTGCTTTTAACAAATAGTTATAGCTTCCCAGTTACTCAGGAAAATGGACTAAAAATATGACTTGCAACACCCTGGTGCCAAAAGTCCAGCTATTGTATGTCCAGACCATCCTGGGTAAATAAGTCATAAATATGTCACCCCAGATCCCATAGCCCCTTCAATAGGTATGAGCCTAATTCCTTTCCAAGTTAATGGCTAAAATCTCCTTCCCCTGGTGTTAGTCCACCCTCTCCAGGTGAAATCTCTCCCAGTTAGCTGCTGCTATGTATCTCTCTCTCTCCCTCCCCCTGTAGCCATTACAATCCCATGACTTTAAGTCTCAGCCTCTGTAAACTGGAAACTTTTCTTTTTCTCAAAACAGCCCCTCTTTTGTTGACAAGTGGATTCTGCGTAAAAATACCCCATAAAAAAAAAAGTGGGGGTATGGACATAGCTCAATGCTCCCTCAGTTCAATTTCTAGTACCAGAAACCAAGTTGCTGTAGGACACTCAGTAAACAGCCCAGATCCCAGGGACTAACATTTCAGTCCAGAGCCCAGAACTCCTACTTCAGTCCCTCACCCTGGGCCCTGCTTTCTTTCCAAGGAACACCAAGCAAACCATGGTCACAAGCAAGTCAACTTTATTATCATCACATAACTTCGTAGAAAAAGGAATTTAGGAAACGGGTCATAGTCATAAAACACAAAACAAAACAAAACTTCCAGGTAGGTCTCTGTGGTTCTCTGTACAGGTGGGAGACGGGCTGGGCACAATCAGGAGCAGCAGCTGCACTTCTCAGAAGCCCCTTTGCAGACGCAGCCCTGGGCGCATTTGGCACAGCCCACGGGGCAGCAGGAGCAGCAGCCTGGGCAGAGACAGGGCGGCAGAGATGAGCACTGGGCAGAGAGGAGAAGGGTTCCCGCCCTCCCTCACGGGGATCCCTGCGGAGGGGCCAGCTTCCACCTCCAAGACCCCAGTCCCCGGACTACTCAACTCCCCCAGGACGGTGTGCAGGGCTGCGCACGGGTTGGGGCGGGGACGGGGTGGAGGGCACAGAGGGTCCCACTCACTCTTCTTGCAGGAGGTGCATTTGCACTCTTTGCAGGTGCAGGAGCCAGCGCAGGAGCAGGAGCCACCTGGGAGGAGGGCAAAGGCACAGATGAGCATGGTCCCTGAAGGCGGGACTGAGCAAAGGAGCGCGGGCAAGCCGCTAACTCAGGGGCTTCCTGGGAAAACGGGGTCCGGGAGATCTAGGGTAGATAGAAACCCACTAAGCGCCTGGGGAAGGCGCAGTTAGTACCCTCAAATTCAGCGGACGGACAGACAGACCAAAAACCGCCCCTCACCGCGGTCCCACACCGGACCAAGCCCCTCACCGGCAGCGCAGGAGCAGTTGGGGTCCATGGTGAGCAGAGAGGCTGCGGCTGGAGTCCGAAGTGACGCACGTGGGTGCTGGAGGACCGGAGGAGGCGTGGTGGCGCCGAGGGCTGAGCGCGCTGCCTTTATACCCGTAGGTTGCGCGCGAGTGCAGACGCTCCGCCCGGCCCTGAGTCACGAGTGGCGACCGAGGGCCGAGCGCACCGGCCGGTGCACACGGAGCACCTTCGAGAGACAGGCGGGACCCTCAGGAGGATGAGATGGGAAACAAGAGGAGGCTGTCTGGGTGACAGCAGGGTTTGGGGAATTTTGCTGTGGGATTGCAACTAGAGCAAGTTGCACTTTTCACTTTGTTTTTTACTATGTCCAAACAAACATTTCTCTCGCTCCCTCTCTTCGTCTCCCTCT